TCAACTACCTTTGCTTATGTATCTGTACTTAACATTGTGGTTATCAAAGGTTAATCTACATGTTTACTTGTATTTTTGTAACCTTTTTTCATGGTATTCGGGAAGCGATCAAAAAGAAGCGCGAACAATTTCCCGCGTTTTCAGAGATAGGTAGAGACACGTGAATCTTTAAGCAAAGGCTGTGATAGTTTACGACCCGAATCAATATTCGATCCTTGAGAATGATCCAAAAATTATTAATTTAATTATCTTGTATGAATGGGTCATTAATAGACACGTGATATGAACGAGGATACGATTTAGAAATGATAAACTTTTTTTGTTTGATCGACGCAAATTTCACTGAAAACTATGTTCCCTACTAAGTTATTCCACAACGTCTTTAGAACTTAATGTTGAAATTGCCTCGTGCAATAATTCTTGTTCCAAAGTTGTTGAGAAAGTTTGCAAAGTTTGTAGTTCTGCGAAGGGAATATCTTTAAATTTCGTAATATAATTTTTCTTGGTAATTTTATAGATGTAAGTTTTCTCTATTCGTTTTTTTTATGACTTCATTAGTATTTCGAAACGACAGTAGTAGTGGCCTGTAGTTTAAATTTCTACACAAGTTTTCATATTTCTTAACTCTTTTTCCTTTGGCGATTGTATTTTTGAATCATTGATCAGTCAGAATTATTTTTTACAATGTCCTTGTATCTACACGTGATAGTTATTCCCAAGGCGCAGACCACGTGTAGTCAAATCGCTTGCCGTGAGGTCGCGTGCCTATTATAATATGCTCTATATTTATAGTGCAGCTTGTTCAACGAACCAGTCATTGCGCTAATGGCCACTTAATTTTATAGATATTACCTCGCAAACTCGATAAACTCAGTTGCCGGTTTGGTTATTTACGTTTTATTAGATCTTGTTGCAATTAAAACAGTTTTATTGCGGACTGTACGTTTTAAACGTTGGCTTATTTACCTCTGTCCATTTTCTAATTCCATTTGGGTAGAGTTATCTTAATGTCAAAGCAAAATATTTTTAACTCTATAATTTTTATCGTTGCTTTAGATATTATACAATTAAATTGAACACCTTAACTTGTATTTTAACAGTTTTATTTCTTCAACTCAATTATAAACTATTAAAGATTAATTTGTTATTGAAACAATGTATGTATTAATAATAAAACATAGTAATTTTATATCATGTTTTTATATAGAGCTCAGATTATATACATTTCGTGTTCAAGTCTATCTAAAATTGTTTGACGTTGTTAATAGCAAAGTTTTTTCGCTTAACATTGTTATCTATTGTTTGGAATCTTTCTTCTCTCATCCATTACGTGTTTCGTGTTATCAAGAGTTAGTCAAGTTCTCGACTGTCAAACTTTCAGTGTTTCTTATGTTTCAAGATAGAAGTCGGACTAGAAACATACTTGTACGTTGCCAGCTGTGATGTAATCACGATCGGTCTTTGGTATATCAGTTTTTAATTGTCTTTTTTGGAGTATTTTCTTAAAGTTTAAAATAAAGTACTTTAGCGTATTATTAAATAATAAGTATTTTTTCCCGAACGGATGCGGGCGGCACAGGACCAGGTATTGTGGCAATCGATGGGGGAGGCCTACGTTCAGCAGTGGACGGATTAGGACTGAATATGATGATGATTAAGTAATTTACAGGCCTTAAAAATTAAGACAAAATATTAAAACCTCATGCGCTGACGCCACTCGAGTAGTATAAGGCCAGGGAAATTAGTCAATAATTTTCTAAACCCATAAACCAAAGTAACTTACCATGTTCTGTATCACGGTGCACAAGGCATCATGGTATATAGACATCAAATATTATTAGAAAAATCGATAATTCGATAAGAATGGGAATCTAGTAATGAGTACGTTGTTCGTGGTAATTGAGATTGATAATAGCATGTTATTAGGGCGAAATGCTCGTCGCCATGACCCAGATCGGATTGCGCGGCGACAATATACCCCCCCGCTAGCCTGAAGCCTCGCCTCCCCCCTGCCGCATTGCACCTGCATATGCGTAATGAGTGGCAGTGTACACGATAATTTATGCACCTTTGTGCACGCCTGTACTCAACATTACAGGCTTATTGTTATAATTGGATGCCTGTCGGATTACCTTTGATTTAAATTTTATATATTTTATAGCTCTTCTTCTGACATTTAACATTTTTTTGGAGGAAATTTTATGTCATTTTTCTGTTTTGTCTGAAAAAAATAACAATTTTTTTTATTTCATTAAATATCAGTATGAAAAATATGCTTATAGGTCGTAAGAGCATATTATTTTTCATTATATCTCTTTGGAAATGGAACTCAAGTAAAATATTGCTTGTGAAGTGCCAAGAAAAATTGCCTTACAAAACAGAGATAATTTATTCATGTTAGCGATTGCCGACAGCAATACAACACCGAAGCGGAAGAGTCCTCGAACCATAGAGCTATTTTTCCTTTTTTCACTGTCAAATACAAAGCGTCTATTAAATCGCTTGGCATAGTGTTTTATTACAAACTTTTTACAATAAAGAATGGTGGTACTTTTTGTATTTGTAGTAAAGTTTAAAATAAGTTAATACTTATTAAAAAAGTTAATGGTAATAAGAATTGATAGTGTTTCGCTTCATTGATTATAACTCTAAAGGAATGAGTAAAGACGGCAAAATGTTTCATTGTGTTGGTAATTTAAGAAATTTGCCAAATACGAAATACGACCTAAAGATTTCATCAATGCTTAGTTCCCGGACAAATATCTATTGTTTTTAATTTAACATTGAGTTTTTATATCACGCATGTTGATAATGTAAACAGTTTAATACTGGTTGTATTTAACAATTTTATAAAAAAAATTGCTTTACATCTTGGTAAAACTATGTGAAACAATTTGAACCGCATGAAGGAAAGGGAAAGTGTGTAGAATTGTAATGAATGAAAAATGTTTCGTCACTCTGGAACACCGTAATGTCGAAGCGACGTCGGACGTCGGCTTTCGATTTCACGATGGAGCCACCGGCATAACGTATATCCGGTCCGTGGTCCGTGGCGGACCTTTGTGGACGCCGCCTGCCTCCGTAAATTGAATAATGCCCACCTTGCCTCAACTAAGTGGTTTCTATTTTGCCCTACGTGCGTTCCCCGCTCGCCACCAGCTACGAAAATAACCTAATATTTTTTGTTATATTAATGTCACAAGGTCCTTATGGTTCATGTCAAGTTCGTGAACTCTTTAGATAGAGGATAGCTAATCAGCAATAAACAGAAAATGAGAATCGAAAAATATGAATGTCCTTTATATTAAGCTGTTTATATTAGGAATAAGAGCTCAAAATGCACATATGTGCATTATTATATAAACTCAACAAAAAGAGTTTCACCTCTGCCTTTAGAATTTTTGTATAAATTCAAAAAATAACATTTTATAATTTTTTCCACACACAAATTGTTTGTAGAGTTTGTATACAGTGATGGTATGCTATTCGAAAACATATATAGGGTAAAATGTATATAGTCGTATATAGGGCAAGGCTCACTCTTCGTTTCCCGCACACATGAAATAATTCATTAGATCGTTGTTTGTTTTGTATTTGTTCGGATTAATTGGATTTTTATAGGGTTGCGGTGAAAGTTCTAACTTTGTTGTTTATACAATGGCTTTGTTTATGCCACTTAAAGCGTATTCTATACGATGTTTTTTGGTAATTATTTATGTAATTTATCATCTTGTGAGTCCAAAATTCATTTACTTTATCTAAGAGCTATGATTAAGAAATAAATATATTGATTTTTTTAGTCATGTTTACGATGTTTTACGTGTCTTGTGACGCAGCAGTGTGGCAGTAAACAAGGAGTGTGGAAATATGTTTAAAAATTCACGATGTCTTTCCATAGTCAACACAAAGCTAAATATACATATGTATCGTACCTTTTTGTATCTATTGTCATACATTTTGTAGCATTCCATAAAAATGAAACGAAGGTAAAATGCTTAAAAAACTTCTTTGTCACATTTTGCAAAAAATCTTGTTGTTGAAATGGACCTACGAATATTTCAGTTCATACTAACAATACTTTTAAAAAATTTACATCGCTTTTATAAAAAACCGACCAACGAAAAATTATTTTCTTTTTTTTTTCATATACAAAATTGAAAATGTAAAACTTTTATTTCAGACTTGGTACATAACCTACCTATCATCGTCGATACCGAATGCCTAAAAAACATAGAAGATTTTTAAAGCGCTCGTAATGCAGGTTTATACTACTTTCTCCCTTTTTTATATGAAAAGAACCCTTTCCTGGATTATGCAAAAACATTCGTATTCGAGGGCGGCTCGAGAGAGGCCTTTTCATATTTATCCCATCCAATTATAAGGGTGCTTGTAAATTAGAATTCTTAAATTGTAGGTATTCATAAAGTACAATAATTGCAACGTCACGCGGCCGCACCTTGACCCAATCTCACGGCATCAGCGTCGTTTTAGCTGCAATTTTTTTATTTGCAAACGAGAGGCTTATACACTAGACCTACTTTTTAAAATTTGAAATGAAACCATTGTTGAAAATAGATAACGAATCTGTTGTTGGGCCCTTCGTAGTCAAGGCAACGTAAATCTTCTAAACCCGGCGATTTAAGTTGCCAAACGACTACCGCGATATAATGATAGATGTTCGTACATATTCTCGCGTTCCTGATAATTTGTTTTTTTGGCCCTTTGTACACAGGGCAACGTAAATCTTTAACCCTCGTGTGCAACGCGATACTGGCGACATAGGGATACAACATTGATGTCGATGATTTGTGTAAAATGATTGACTAAACTAAAGAATTTGTCATAAATCTGCTACAAAACGGCCTACTTTTTCGTTACTGTAAAGAGAACGCTTCATATGTGATATGTGAATGCAAAAGGTTAAATAGTAATATCTACGCTCAGCTTTATGGTTCTACGATTAGTTCTATGAAATTAAATTACTTTTTATTTGTTTTCAGGCGCAAAGCGACGACGATGACGTCGGGCCCGACGATGTCAACGTCGCCGTTGAAGGCGGCTTCATGGACGAATTCTTCAGTGAGGTGAGTCACATAAACACATCAGGAATAAGAAAGATAGATTTATAAAGATTGAATATTCAATAAGTTTTTAACTTCTTCTTGGTAGGACGTGTCTTTAAACTGTTAATACACATACAGCTAAGACAGAGAATGGCTTCGCCTTTTCTGCGAACTCGGGATTAAAAGCCTAAAGCGGGTCTATCTTTTAACTTATTACGATACTTAGCTCAAGGTAGCTTTAAGTAGTTATCTAGGTCTTAGCGATTATTTTAATCCGGTCTAGTTGCCTTGAACGTGACACGTTCGAGTTTTTCTAGGTTACCTTGCATTCTGATGGGCACGGAGCCGTAAACTAGGCCCTAGTGAATTCATTTTACTTAGTAAAATTGTTGCGACATAGAACGTGTTACCTATAGCGCTGACAAGTAATATTTCAAACAATTGGTTTTCTCTTTGCCATTGTTCATGTAATCAAATCCCGCAACCGCGACACGGTCACATTAATCCGGGCATAGAACCCGGATCAACGTTTATCGTTCGTCCGGGTATAGTAGGATTAGAGCATGAGCCATCAGGACACTCATTTGTTCGCTACCCCGCGGATCAAGTCACAAAGACACTAACCTATATGTATGAAGTCTGACAGCTAGGGCAGAAATGCTTTAATTTCTAATATTGTGAATAATATTAGACAAAGTGATCCTATGAGGGTTACGTTTTTTTCCTACCCCTAAAAAGGGCTGGAAAAGTCTAGTTCACTTATCTTCAACTGTTAAAACACAATTCTGTCACTTTATGTATAATTTATATATGTTATTAATTCATTCTATCTTTTCATTTAAAAGCTACCCTAACACCTCATGAACGATATTTTAGTATACTTCCTGAATTAGTGCAATAAGGTTTTATGTAGTTCAGAAACTAGGAGTTTACACTAGCGAATTACATGGTCAAAGTTTTGATTACTAAGCTAAGCTTTGTGCATAGTATTAAAGGAGTAACAACAATGCAGTTTAGAATGCATGTTAGCCCGCACTAAGCACAGGGCGCGTATGCATTGTGTGCTGCCGAGTTCATTTGCCGCACCGGGAACAACGGGCCGCCAGTTTGTTTAGTTTGACCGCGATCCCAGACCCCCAGTTCCGATGTTTGAATGAACTGACTAGAAAACACGTCAGTTCTAAATATTATTAACTCGTATGCAAGACATATATATCAACGGAATTTTCATATGACAGAAGTTTGATACAATTAAGGATTTAACAAGAAAAAGTGTGAGTGTGCGGTTTAAATATTTTTTAATTACTTAACATGCTTACTAATTAAATGTAGAATTATTGTTGGATCTGTTATTAACCGGATTTATGAGTTAATTTGTTGAATCCTTCAATTATTTTTTATTACTTAGTACTTATAAGCCGGCATAATTACTGGCGCTTCTGGTTACGGGGTTATAGAGTTTTATAAGCTTGAACGCTCAATAAAAAGATGTACTTTGGCAGTTTACACTGCTACTACAGCTCAAATTTTAATGGTAAATGATATGATAATGGATTCGCATTAACCAAAATTTGACGTCTGGTATCAATTTCCCAGCTCAATCAGTAAACCGATATTCTAATTTTTTTTTTCTCTTCATAGTTAAAAAAATCGTTTTGTGTACTTTTCTGTTCCATTCCGTACTTCCGTCAGTATGTCCGTAGTGCTGAATATATTGGGCAAACACATACAAATCTCCACTTCACCAGGTGGGATCGTGGTCAAGCGCTAGCTTATAAAATGTAAAAAAAAAACGAGAAAATTCAGGAAATAACAAAATGTTACTTGGATTAAACTGACATTTGATGTATTTATCGCTACCACAAGCTAACGATCTGAGCATCATCCCACTTGACGGTTTTCTCATTTCCTTGTAAAGTTTATTTAAATTAAAGCAAAGATAAAAGCTAAGTCCTGTAACGAGCTTATCAACGTCATCTGCAGGCGTTCAGTGGAATAAATTGTTTTCACATATTTTTTGTTTCCCTTTGTTCTGTTGGACTTTTTGCGCGTAATTAATCTAGCTAAAGATTAATGTACCGATTTTATTAATATTATAAATAATAAAACAAAAACTGTACTTTGTTACTTTTTTTTAACAGTGGTAGAGCCCGCATTAACATCTTCCCACGAATTGGCCCGGCTGTCCCAGTGAAATACCACGACCACACAGAAGACATGCGTGAAGTGAAAGCATTTCCGCGTATCGTCTGATGTGTGTGCGTCTCGGAGGCCTAATTTAGTCCCCTTTCCATTCCGACACTTTTTCTTATAAGGAAAGGATGGGGAAGTGGACTTTCCGGATGAGAGGATGCATGGAAAGTCCGTCGATTAAAGGCAGGCAATGCATATGCAATTGTCACTTTGCTATTTCAGCGATTTCAAGTGGCCGCTTGCACGATTGCCCCCATATGATCTTTAAAAAAAATAATTAAATAAGTGCGCCTTTTACAAATTATTAGCACTCCAAAGTCTATTAATACCTCGTTTGTGCATTATGATGAACCTCATAAATTATTAATGGACAATTAATATTAGCAAAGCTAATTAATCCCCAGCTAAGCATTACAATTCGTCTTCCTAATGACCTGTCAATCACCCTGATGAAGTTAGACTTGTAATGGACGGAGTAATGTTATTTAAGTCGTTTAATTACTGAATGGTCAGTAATTAAAAGAAGTTTTTGTTTTGAAAATAGGAACCCTCTCAAACTTGTACTTCCTGGATTCTATAAACTAATAATTTTTCTATAAATGTCTAAAATTACTTTTGTTTTTGATTCTAAATACTTTAACATATCTCTTGCCAATATGATTTCATCGTATGAAACTGAACTCTGTAGACAAATAAGTCCCATTGAATGTGTTAAGGAATAAGTAACAATGGGAAGCATATAGTGTACTTTGTTGCTTTAACTTATTATGTTTTTGTACTCAAATGGAGACGATTTAAGAATGTTCGCTTGTTTGCAATATTTCATGTCGCGTCCCACTGAGTATTGTAGTGTAATAACATGAATGGGAGCTGTGCGCTGGTTGATGACGTCATACGTTTTTTTTTAAAATTTAATCTAGCAATAAGAGCGAGCGATATTAATATTCCAGCTTAGTTCTTTATTCATTGTATGGGTTATTTGAATGATAATGTCTGAAGATCGTGACACTATTAATATACTCCTTGACAGAGTTAATTTGCATTTAGCTTGAGAAATTAAAAACTAAGTTTTTATTTCAACTATTTACCCATTCATTCTGCTCTTTTCCCATTCGGATGGACGGAATAGCATGTACTACTCCATACATGTATTCATATCTGAATCTGTATGCAAAATATTATGTTATCTCAATTTATGTAAAGAAAATAAAAGAGATGACAGTATATTTTTGCATGGCGATGTTGTCAGTGGAAACCTACGGTAATGTAATAAATATTGGCTTAGTTGCATGCTCATACATAAATCATGTTTATTGCTGTGAATAAATATGATAGTAATATGAAAAGAACCTTCCCGACTTTTAACATAAATATAAGGGAACGTTTCGTTATGAATTACTTATGTGAGATACAGCAGCGATGAATATATCGTTTGAAGGAATTTGTTAAATAATTATTGCTCTTTATATCTTTCATATTTCTGTTTAAACTACCATTCCATTTCACAATTCAATCCGTTGCCATTTCTTTTTTTGAAAAAAAAAATTGAAAAATTTGCAACATGTCCAGTGTTATTACTCGCTTTAATGTTTCGCAATTTGACAAAATGGATATCGTCTCGGAGGCAAGGATAACGGACGTCGTTACAGTAACTCCCTAAATTAGGTTATAATTAAAAAGGGATTGCCACTTTATGTGATTTATTAATGTAATTCGCTGCCTAAATAGGTTAATTAACAGATCGTCAAGAGTTATTTACAGATGTTTAAATCTTTTATTTTGTATGTTTAAGTTGATGGCCGGTTGAATTGGTTGGATGGTTGGATTTTAGCTGCAGATTTTTTTAATATTTTCACAATAAATGAGGTCATGTTTGGTATAGTAAACGCAATGCTTGAGTGTAAAAATTGATGTAGGTAAGAACCAAAACCCTAATTAAGCTCATTGCTAAAGACGCTATGATAATGTGACTGTTTTTGTATCTTTTCTTTCAATCGGTCTTGTGTTACTACTTAGGCATTTCTTTGCAGGATCAAATGATCTCGTGATAAATATAAACACTAAAAAAACTTAATAAGTAGTCATTCGTATATTTTTAAGTTTATATAATTAAAGCAAATTGAATTACTGAAAGTACTGTTTTAAACTTATTCAATTTTGTTTTTGCTCGTCGGAAATTTCTTCCACAAGTCAAATAAAGTTGCTTCATTCATTAAATTACGACGAAGCGCTTTATTTTTTTATATCTGCCCTCATTTATTCTCTGCTCACGTTTAATCTGCATTTTACTGAAATAAGTAGAGTGTTGGATTACTGTATATGTTTAATTTAATAAAATTATGACAGAAAACATACTATACCTATGACTAAAACTAGTTTTATGCGTATAGTTAGAGAAATAATAGAAAATGAGCAAAAATCTGCTTATCTTACTAATATTATAAACGCGAATGTTTAGATGGATGGATGGATGGATGGATATTTGTTTGAAAGTATCTCCGGAACGGCTCAACGAATCTTGCTGGAAATTGGCACAAATGTAGAACATAGTCTAGATTAACACATAGGCTACTCATTAAGATTTTTATGAATTTCGCGTGGTCGGAGTCGCTGGCGATAATTACTATATATATAAAAACAAAAAAAAAACTCCAAAATGGTTTTAAAAGACAAAGGTTGCGTGGAGGGCGGTGGCATAAGAACGCGACGGGTGGGCGGCGCGTCTGCCTAGCGTCGGAACCCCGTCGCTCCAATCTTAATATGTGCCCTATTTAGCTCAGCTGTCTCTCATTGCTTTTTATTATACACCATGTAAGCTATCATTGTGTTATTAATGACGTCATTAGATGATGTAATGGTATGGTCTTCTCTATCCTTGTCATCTTCGTCGTATTTTCTGGCAGGACGTAGGCTTTTCGGTTAGTCTTGTGGGATGCCTACCTACGCTGCTTTGTTCTTGGCCATTGTTTTAAGAAAAATGTTCTTTCCTTACTAATAAAGATTTATCATTTTCAACGGTTAATTAAAAAATTCAATGTCTACCCTAACGCTAAATATTCGGACAAGTAATGTCGATGTTACTGGAAGTCTGATACAAATGTATGCATATAACACAGATACAAGCTACACAAGAGTTTGTTATAACTCGATGTTATCAGTGGCGCGAGCGCGATATGGTCTTATCACGGCAATCTGATTAATTGATGAGTCAGCTCACTACCGCCCCCCGCCGGCCCCATATTGACCCGCGCCCCTGAACTTGTCCGATTATACGAAACAAGCGAAATATTGGCCCTGCCCTCTGTTGCTATCTCAACCCTTTTAAGTTCCACGCTGAATAGTTTGTACGTTATCTGTATAATCAATTGGTCCTTTAGGTCTCTTGATTTTTTCAACGTTACTTTCAAGTACATTTATTTCTTAATTGTAATTCAAATTCATTACTTGTTGACTTTGCTTCATTAAAAGCTTTATAAATCTACTAGCAATAGTGTTTCAAAGGGCTGCTTGTGGCATTTAGATTGAAGAATATTAGAAAAGCAATTCTCAATTCATGCATGCGAAACGAGCATGTGATGAGAGGGATTATGGTCTCGTTCGCAGTTTAATAGTCACAGATTAATCATGAACATTAGTCATTATCTAGCAGCTGACACGTAGCTGATGATTAACGTGCTTACTAAAGGTAGAAACGTGATATTAAAAGCAACCTGTAGTATAACAAAGATATTCTTTCCTCCAAACATTTACTTTTACACAGCTCGTGTGCTAATGTTATCATTTATAAATGGGTTACTATCGGGAAGTTAATTATGTTTTTCAAATAAATTTAAGGAATAAATAATTAAGTATATAGTTCCCAGTTACTTGCGAATTACATGTTGAATATACTCATTACTGTATTATTGACTATCTTAGTACAGAGTTAGTACATTTTTTTTTATATCAGAAGGTGCCAAACGAGCGAGCGGCCACCTGAAATCGCTGAAATAGCGAAGTGACTGTTGCCCATAGACATACGCAATTGCATATGCGTTGCCTACCTTTAATCGACGGATGAGAGGATGCACAGAAAGAACATATTGAAAGTTATAAACATGGTAGACATTTTGCCTGGCAAGTTTTGGTTTTCACACTTAGCGGAGTAACGACAGAAGTGCTAAGTGCAAATAACTTGTAGTTTGCAAGTGTACGTAAAGTTGAACTGCAGTCGGGGCGTTGGTTACGAGGTTGGAAATTTGCCAATAATTCCTGTGGCAAAATTAAAATACGACTGTGGCTATAAAGAAAGGGAAACAACTCGCCCCCCGAGTTACGAAAGCCAATTAAATTAAAGCCCACTCGGAAATTTCATTTACAAGGCCGATAAAGTAAATTTAGATATTTATATTCGAGTTACGCAAAGAAATATTTCCACCAAGTTCTTTATACGAAATTATTTTTTGTTATAGAATTGACAACGATAATTTCTGTCGAATCAGATATGATTTTCATTTTGCGGTAATTTTGGTCATTGTTTAAAGAAAGTCACTAAAAAACTTATAAGTTGATCTTCATAATCCAAACTATCATTGTGTGCCTAACAAAGTGTAGGATAAGGAGGTTCCCAATAAGTGCAAAAAATATTGATAATATAATGAACAGCCGACGACAGCGCTCCACTTGGCTTTGTGCCAGAAACATCAAATATCGATTGGAATTACTGAATAACGTCCAGATATAGTGGCAAATTGAATAACTTTATACAGTAATTTTCTCTCCTAAAAAATAGAATTAAAAGCTCCATCCGCGCGGGAAAAAATATATATTTAGTAGACGATTCTCAAACCTATTACTTAAATATTCATATAATATAAAATTTCATAAAAATCGCTCAAGCCGCTTTGGAGGTGTATGATAACTAACATTGTGACAAGAATTTTATATATTTATAAGATTTATATTTTCATTTACCAATCAAGTTATTAATAGTTAAAATTCATGAATATGTAATAAGTTGAAAATGTTGATTTAGAATTCTTTCTTTTTATTAATACACCAGAATATTTAAGGATTCCAGTAAGTTTAGTTTAAAACTGTTAATTTATTCATTTGGCTCCAATACAAATAATTTAACTCTGTTCTTTTAATTGACATTAACAAGCCAATATAGGAATAGTTGATCAGTATTAAATTGCAGAGATTTGATGATGACCAACACATTTCGAAGCTATTAATAGTTACGATTAACTTTTTAAGAGATAGTTTTTAGACACTTGTATTAACAATGATAATAATAGAAGTAATTCAGTTCTATTTATGCCTGACCTTTAGTACACCACAGTATCTGAAATGGCAATACGTGGGCGAAGTAAATGCACTCCATTTCTGTCGCCCACTAATGCCAGTAATATCATAGACAGGATCTCGCACGAGTTCTTTTATAGCTTCGAAATGGTCAATTTCAATTTCCGAAGAAAAGTTTTCCTATTGGAAGTTGTTTTACTTATCGAAGGTTTCGTTATGAGGAGAATTTATTCGTAAATTAACCATTCAATATGAAGCTTGAATTAATGTTGATGAGTTTTTCGTTTCTGTGAAAATTGTTAAATGAGGAGCTTAAGAATTTCCAGACGTTAGAATTTTAAAAGCAAATTAAATACGGCGTTTGACTATATTCTTGATTTCTTAAAGGAACAAATGGTTGTATAGGCTAAAAAAATCTTAATTCAATTAATATTAGTGGAAAAGTTGCTTAAGTTTGTGACAGTGATAATTTAAACATCATGTTATCAGACAGATTGCTTGTACATATTGATAATTTATCACTACGCCATTCTGTATTTTAATTGTTGTCGTTTTGTTGTCAGGTGGAAGAGATACGGGAAATGATAGACAAGATACAGGCGAACGTCGAAGAGGTTAAGAAGAAGCACAGTGCCATCCTCTCAGCACCGCAGTCAGATGAAAGTAAGTCTCTAAATTAGTAGTAGTCCTTAAAAACAGAGATAGAGAGAGAGAGAGTGTGCTCTGAACAGAGCAGAATCTTCTTTACGCAACAAGTTTCTCTTTTCTTCCATGTTTTAATTGGGTGTCTATGAATGTGTAAGAACATTTTGCTCTTTAAAATGGGAACTGTTTTAAACTTAAAAATATTTTAACAGCTTTAAAGAATTGCTCATATTTAATATCTTTTAAGCTTCTTATCTTTTAATATTATCGTTATCATTGTCAGATGTCATTTTAATTGCTTTTATGACTCAATCATAAAACATTATTTAGTATAAATCAGTAACGAGACGTAGAGATAATAAATTTTCTTTTAATAGTCGCAAACGTCTTATACTTCGTTACTAAAAATATGTTGTCTCGTAATGGTGTTGTCGTCATTCGATAGCGTAGGTTGAAGGCGTGGGCAGGTTCATTGGATCGCCGTGTTTAATTGAAGGGCGGATTTACCAGACGCGGAGGCGGCGTTTGCCAGTCTGGCCGCCTTTCATTTCACAACCCCCGGCTTTTCTACTACATTGAACTTTAAATACCTACGATTGATACGCTTTGAAAACGACGTTTTTAATTTCTTTTTGTTATTGTCTTTTCTTTTATTCGTTTTGTTAATGTTTACGTATCTTCCGTTTGTTATACCGTAACTATCAAACATATACCAGAAAAACTTGAGACACAGGATCGCCTATTACATTTAATACGTCTAAAATAATAGCTGTACAAAAGCAATAAAGTACGTTATCATAATCAGAGTGTAATATAATTAGATAAAACGATAAGTATCAAGCTGGTATATGTTTTTATTTTTACGACTGACGAAACGACTCCGTGAACATCGTATTCGGAGTGGAAATGGCGCGAGATCCGCCCGTTTTGTTGAAAAAAACATGGCACAGACGTTTCGTTTACTTTCCTCCCGTTGTGTTTGTGCTATATTTGGAATCTTTTCTTTTATTGTAATTTGATGTTCGCTGTATTTTATATTGACCTTATGATTTGAGTATCTAATTATTTCTTTCTTGGAAATAGATGTTCGTAAATGTTGATTTTTTTACAACATCGTAATCGTTTATCAGAATTTAATTAGAATTTTAGATATTACAAAATAAAATGCCGCCTAGTGGGAATAGAATGTTAGGAAAAATACTACTCTTTGCAATTTAATATTGCATCAAAATCTTTGAATGTAAAAGTTAACGATCACCTTAGGGTTAGTTGCAAAGTGAAAATGTTGAAAGTAAACGTACCTATATACATAAGCGTTCAGGGTCAAAGGATAAGGGACGAAGCACAACGTAACCGAGCATTACTCGAAACAATGAGTATAGGTAGTTTGGTATGAACGTCCCTAGACCCTCACGCGGCGTAACAACGCGTGAAAATTGCGACACGTAATCTCTGACCGAAAGACCTCCTTATATTACCAACTTAAACTAATATTCCTTTGTGCTATCAGCATAAAATGCTTTACATTAGTATATCTCTTTACTAAAAACGCCCTGTAAACTTTTTTTAGTCAATTTTTGATTAATAGACATCCTATTAAACATTTCAAATATTGATAAACCGTCAAGGAAAACAGTATCATCATCATCAGCTCACTACACGTCCCAACTGAGAGGGTCGGAGCCTTCCCTAAGTTAAAAGTGACTTGGCTATAGTCAACCACGCCGGTCCAGTGCGCATAAGCGGCATACTATGTAATAATTTGATAAACAACCCTTAATATGCTGTAAGTACAAATTGCTAAGAGGTTATGTAATCGCGATTACATTTAGGGCGATGTGGAAAAGGAACCAAATAAGTCGACATATAATACATTTGTTCCTTGATTATTTTATAAACATAATTTTGCCTTTGCTGCTGAATGTAAAGTTCTCTTTATTATGTAACATAGAGGTTACCTCTACATAAGTTTCTGTAAAGAGCACATTGAATTTGCAACAGGAAACCTTTCAGTTCTTATCGGTCTGACTCATGTATAAACAACTTATTATCGCTCGTATTGAACATGAACGATACGTAGATTAGGAATTTTAATTGTCATTGAGCTAATTTATGCTGAAATTAGTCACCCTCACTGGGACATCGTGGTTTACTATATAGTCACCTCTAACTTAGGGTGAACTCTGACCCCCTTAGTGGAGAGGTGTAATGAGCTGATGATGATAGATTTTATACTTTTTTGTATAAATGACAAATCATGCACACATTCAATATTTAATAGACGTCTTTACCACTGTTATTGTAACATCGAACGTAAGAATTTATAGTTTTTTTTGGAGAAAATACTGCCTCCCTACTTGTATGTATATTTTCTAATTAAGATTTCGTTGCTTCAATTCGGAAGGTGGGATTGAGTGAAATCAAAGCAGTATACGTGTTTGAAGTTCACATTTCACCCTACTCGGTTCGCTTCCTATCGTTTACGAGTATGTGTATTTAATTTTGTTGGAAGGAAGGTAACCTTATAAAATATAAAATGTTTGATTTTTATTTTCATTGCAAATAACTTTATTCGTACGATAGTCATTCGTATTACCTTCGTATAAAGTCTGTTTTTGGAAATGTTATTTTGCGGGAATAATTTATTAGCATTTGATTTTCTATATCAAAGTGCTTCTGTTGGAATTTGAAAGGTTTTAGCAACAAAATATGCTCAGATAATGTTCTTTTCCAATCTATCAGATGACTGAAAATATTATTGGATTTTACTTTCGACAAATGGACTTATTAAGTGTCTTTGATTTTTTTATATGTCATCTTTAGCTGTATACCGTTTCTAATTTATAGTATTTAGGTTGTTATTCAAAATACTGAATGTATTTAATTCTATTATGTTTATTATGTAAAGTGCAAATAGTAAATAGAGCTCTCTATTTCACAATTATTAGTGTATTCATTGCACAGCGAACAGAGTTCATTTTCCTGAATTAGGACTGAAATGAACACGCCAATAAAGTTCGCGATAAATTTTCAATTACCACGGCGTATCTGTTCTATATATAAATTTATTTGTAGCGCACAAACAGTCTGTAACAGCAAATAATATTGCTGTTTTATTTTATAGCTAACATTTCAGCTAGCTTCGGCCGAAGTTTTTAGCCAATATTAACTCTTTGGCTAAACAAAGTCAGTATAGTCGGGAGCGTCCCGTACTGTATGCCAATTATTTCAGTATTGAGCAATATAGTATTACGACTTGTATACATTTATAACTAAACTATAACTTTGTAGTCATCCAAAAGACTAGCTGCACCATATTACAGCTTTAAATCTTTATATCAGAACGACTTTGTTCTGTTGCATGCATTTGTAGAAGTAATTTAATAACTACACTCTTTTCTCAAAGATTGCAGTGGGCTCTAAAACTTGTAGTAACAATTTTTTTCCTCATAAATTTCTATAAGCCTCCAGCCAGTTTCAAACGAATACCAGATTCCAGACTAATAAATTTTGACTAAAGTATGTTCGCTGCATTGGTGCCAAAAGGGTCGCGCATAAATCACATTTCATTTATTTCGTAGCCATATTTGGTTCAGCCCTATTTATGAAAAGCATACTCAAATAAAGTAACGCTTTGATTAACGCGATTGGCATATGTTTTGATGTTATTTCAACCGACTGCTTTTACTTTGGCTTGACCGAACAATTTTGGGTGCCGCAGGATGTTAATACTAAAATAATAATATCTTTCGGACATGAACTATGTCATTTGGCAACCAAAAAAGTAGGTACAAAATTTTCATATGAATATCAGCCAAATAGTAGCACCATTTGGCTTCTTCGGTCTTGTTATGGGAGTTTTATGGTTTAAAATTATGTTAGTGTTGTAAAATAGTTTTCAATGTGAAGGAAATCTATGAGGGATTTTCTTTTAGTGACAAAGTAATATGTATTATTTATTTCACGAAATTTGAAAATTTTCAACAGGGAACATACATCTCAACACTTAACGTTTGAAGAGTCTAACATTTTCAATATTAAATATATTGCTTATCCTAAAGTATATAACAGTATCTCGCATAAAAATATGAACAGCATCAAAGCACTTAATGAAAATTGATATGAAAATTGTTTGACTCCTTTTTTGTTCGTTATTCTGGGAATGGAACGAGTTTGTATCACGTCGATTTTGTTTCTTTTGTCGACCTCATTTTATCTGCTATTGTGTCTGTTCGAAGAGTTCGCTGCATTGTTTCAAAATAGATTGTTGGATGCTCGGTAGGTACACGTTTTAAAATAGTAATTTAATGCAGGCTGTAACCAAAAGTTCAATAACATATATAAAAAAAAATGTTGTTCCGTTTACATGCAACGGGCTTCCTAATTTAATATGTTTATTATATTATAATAAGATTTAACTAAAAAGCCATGAATAGATAATTGTAGAAACCTGACAATTTATTGCAATTAATTAAATATTAACAGAACGAATATATTTATAATTTATTTATAATGACAGTTCTGTAAATAACTTTATGATTATAAGAAGACTACTGCCAATCTATTACGTAACGTAAAAAGCCTTGTCTTATTTCGATATAGCTTTTGTTATTTCAAACTCTTGAAAAGCAAAAATGTAATAACCATTACAGCTTTGTCTCGTCTCATTTTCATAAAAATGTACCACATTTTAATGTGTTATGCTGAGATGCATTATGTGGTTAAAAGGGGGACATTACTTTGCACATATGTGGGCTAGACTTGAATTGTCATCTTAAATGGGTCAGCGCTTGCATGACTAACGATCTCACATTGTGCTGCACCGAGACAGCTCAACTTGTACCATGTAATAACTTAGAAAACTTATTTGTTCAGTCTTATATTATTCAGTGACAGTGAAATAGATTATGTAATTCATTGAAAATTTGTACGTTTTATATTTTCAGTGATTTCTTTGCTTAAAACGCAATGGATACTGATACGTTATAAAATATTCATTAGAAAACAGTTTGTCTTCC